CAGGTTATCACAAGGCATCGCTGGACAGGAAGCCTCTGGGCACAGGTGGGGACGAATCTGCCCCCAGGCAGCCAGAACCTCCCAGAGCTGCCTGTGCTCAGCTGGTGTCCCTGCAAGCTGGGTCACCTGACCTGCTTAGTCTGCAGGGCTGACGGCAACCTTCCCAACAGTGCCCTTCGCTGAGAGGAGCAAATAACCCGGCTCCTCCAGTAATAGCCTGTGAAGAAATTTAACAGGTACTGGAAATGTCTAGATTATCTGAGCTGTAACCTTCATACATGAATTAGACACAGGAAGTCTTAATGCCACCACAGCTAGGTAGCATTCAGTTTGGGGCACATTAAACTTGCTGAGGGTTCCCCAAAGGATTTTGCCCCCAGAAGTCAGAATGTTCACTTCCCAGCTCTGAAGACGTGTGGCAGACTTACACAGACTGGGGTTTATTGGAGGATGAGCCTGAGAGGTTTGACGAGTGTATCCACAAACTCAGCATCCTAGGCACATAGTTACCAGAGCCGCACACACAAAGGACTGAAGGATTCTGCTGGCCTTGTGGTCCTCACACTGGAACAAGCTTCAGTGTCACCCTCAGGACGTGGAAACTCAGATTTTGGGGCCCTGCCTCAGGAATCCACATTTGTCACAGCCTTGCACAGCGCCGGGGCTGCCATTCGGAGGCCCTGATCTGGACACCAGCTCTAAGAGACTGGCAGTAATATTCCCTTTTTACAGATGAGCAAACCAAAGCTGAGGTAGCCTAAATAACTGGGATCACTGTGGTTACTGGGTGACAGAACCAGGACCCCGGCCTCCAAAACGCATGAAAGTTCAAAGTCCACTCCATGACTTCACCGCCATTGCGTGTTCTTTGTCTTCTACCCCATCTCCCCGCCCAGCCCAAACCAGCATTTAAGGGATAAAATTGAATGACCGATTTGTGAGAAGGGCCCACAGAAAGCTCCTGTGTTTGGGAAGGCAGGAGGGGTGTGTATTAGGACTTGTCTGACCCTGGCCCCATCTATCTGGTTTAGCCCTAAGGTCTGCAGTCCTCCTGCCTTACTGAAATGTATCTTCTTGGGAGCAGGAGGTATAGCCTGGTGCTAGAGTACTTGCCTGGCATGTACAGGCCCGGGGTTCAATCCCCAGCACCACAAAATAAATAAACAAAATGGATCTTCTCAAATTGTAGAAAGCAAACAAATGTATAGGAGGAAAAACAAGTTGGAAATCAGCATCTGCTTCTAAATTCAAAGTGGACTCCTAGGGCCCAGGATTTAGCTCAATGGTTCTGCTGCATGCCTCACAGGCATAAGGACCCGATTCCTGGTACCAAAACAAAACAAACAAAGTGGACTCCTGTCAGCACTTGAAAAAGTACTGGCTGATTTTTTTTCTCATCTGCGATATTTTTGTTTTTGTTTATCACTATAAAAGCCCCTATGAAGGGCTGCGGATGTAGCTCAGTGGTTCCCCTGCCTGCCTGTCAAGCGCAAGGACCAGAGTTCAATCCCCACTACCAAAAAAAAAAAGCCCTTGTGGTTGTTACGAATGGCAGAAAACTTCTCTTGGTCCTCGACATGCTAACAAACTCCTCCCTCAGACCCCAGTGTGGCAGGATCCTACTGAGGTGAAATGATGTGCCTCTGAGGAAAATTCCAAATTCTGTGCAGAAGCAAACTTTGATTTTTTTACATTAACCTCTCTCCGCTATGGGTAAAGGTGTTACTTTGAGTGAATGTGCGCAATTTAATTCTAATAAGGAAGAAACCGGCCAGACATGGTGGCGCATGCCTTTAATCCCAGCACTCAGGAGGCTGAGGCAGGAGGATCCTGTGAGTTCAAGAGCAGCCTGGGCTACAAAATGAGTTCCAGGTCAGTCTCAACTACATAGTGAGACCCTGTCTCAAAAAAACAACAACAACAACAAAAAAAAAAAACATGGGAGAAACTAACCTTTGTCCTCCGCATCCATTGTTGGATACTTTCCCTTACAGTCCCTTTGGCATACCACTGTTTACAGTCAGAAACCAAGTCTGCTCACATTCAATCCCAGGGAGATCACTTCTACAGTGTGCTGAGACTGTGTTCTGATGGTACTTGATGTGAAAGAGTTTGCATTTGCTTCATTCTTCTGTCCTTCGTTCGTCCATTCCACGAGTCCCCAGATATTTCTAGCCAGGTAGGTGGCACATCTGTAATCAGAGGCAGGAGGATTGCCTGGAACTTGAGGGCAGCCTAGCCAACACAGTGAGTTCAAGTCCAGCCTGAACTACAGGGCGAGACCCTGTCTCAAAAGCCAAAACAGGAAAAGTATGTGGTGCCTTGACCTCTGCTGTGTTCCGAGAATGTAGTGAACCAGAAGTGCGCTTCTGAGTCTCCTCGGGCTGTGCAGCTTCCGGGAAGGCCTCACGGGGGCTCACAGGTGCGGGATCATGGGCATCTTAGTTGAAAACAGTTAGTAGGTAGAGCTAGTACTGGGGCCGCCATCCTGGGAGGGCTGGGGCTGGGGGGCTTGCCTGGGCGGGTGGGTCTGCCTGAGAACCAGGTGGGCGAGGTGTCTGGGTCTGTGTTTGGAAGCTCACCTATCAGGGAATGAATGGGAGAGCAAGAGCAGCAGCGTGGTGGCCTCTAGCTGTCAGCGTGCACGTCTGGGCCGGGCCGGGTTGTTAATCTTTGTGGTGACTTTCTGCGAGTGGGACTTTACAGCATCTTTAAACTCCAGTCCCTGTTGCTCAGCCACTTTGCAGAAAGGCGGTTACCGGTTTCCATGCCCGCCATCACTGTGTGTCATGAGGCACCCACACCCCCTCGCCAGTCTGGAGAATGAGGACATCACTGCCCAGGTGCAGAGGAGACAGTTTGACAGCAGTCTGAAAGAGGAATCATGGGCATCTTAATTGAAAACAAGTTAACAGGTAGAGCTAGTTGTGGAGTTGCACACCTGTATTCAGCATTCTGGGAGGCTGAGGCAGGAGGATCACAAGTTTGAGCCTATCCTGGCCAATTTAATGAGACTACCTCAAAAAATGAAAGGACTAGGGATGCTTTTTTAAACATTGACATTTCTAAAACGGGTGAGCCATGTGATAAATGTTGAAAAAAACCATACCAACTTTTTTTTTGGTAGTACTGGGGATTGAACTCGGGTCCTTGCGCTTGTGAGGCAAGCTCCGGAACCACTGAGCTAAATCCCCAGCCCCCAACCTTTCTTTTTTACCCCAAACATTAATATGAAAGGATGGTCTCGAGTCACGATCGCTTTACTACTTGGAAAAAGGCTGTTTGTGTCATTTAGCTTTCTCATGGTTTTAGGTGGTCAATAACAAAGTGATAGCCTTCTCTTATGATCGGGCAAGGAGTCACACCTCTCAGTATGATTGTGATTCTTCTCCCTCGCCTCCCACTCGATCATTCCACTGCACCACCCTGCTTTGCACTGCAAGGACAGAGGCTCAGCCCCAGCCTCCTTTCTGAGCCCCTGTTCTAGAAGGTCAGGCCCCACCTCCGCAGCTGTGGCCAACAGATGGCTGTGGGGCCAGCGTTGGTGGGAGGCAGAGGGGCAGGGGGCTGATGCTGGAGTCCATCCCTGAAGCAGGCCAGAGAGCCCACAGCAGCGCCCATCATTGTGCGTCCACATGTCTGGGAGAAGGGACTCCACTGTCGGAGGGCATGGGCTATGTGTGGGCACACAGCGTGCTGGCCGTCTTGTCATTGCCCTGCACAGTCTTGTGCACCTGTCCAGCCCTCATGAGCTGCTTGGTGTTTTCATCCTGGGCCCTTCTGTGAAGACAGCACAGCTAGAAGGCGGACCTGAGCAGCATTTCAGAGGTGTGACGGTAGAGGGCACAAGAATGCTGCCGTTTTTCCAACTCTTCAGAACTTCTTGAGGGGCTGGAGGTATAATTCAGTGCAAGAGTACTTCCATAGCATGCATGAGGCCCTGGGATCCGCCCCCAGCACCACCAAGAAATAAAAATACTTTTCAAGTAAAATCATCATAAAATAATTATTCATAAAAAGCTGCACTGCATTCCTACATCTGGCACAGTTTAATCCCACTCAGATGGTGTGACTGTCACTAGCAAAGCGAATCCCTTTTTATGTTGGAAAATAAGGAAATTGAGTTGGATTGTTAATAATGTTATTCTTTTCTTACATATCTTGGGACCTTTTCTTGGGATGTTTTAGAACTTAATAAAAAATAAAGGTCACCTACCTCAGGACCCTTAAACTTCCCTTTGGGAGCAGACATATAAGTGTTGCTCGTGACCCTTTCTGACTGTGTGGGTGTCCTGCTCTCACAGATGTTAGCATTGTAGCCTGCAGTCCACTTGCGGCACTGTCCAGTAACTCTCACCCACACAACACCATGGAGAACATGGAAAAGCTTTCAGGTCTTATGCTCTGGGCATGTACTGTCAGCATGTCTCAAATTTGACCCCCGAGTACTTTTCAGAGACAGGAAAGATAGAGGCCTGGCTTCTGGGATCCAGTACATAGCTGTGACTTGGTGGCTTTCAGCCAGTGGAACATTTTGGGAAGCTGAGAATCCTTTATTCTGTAAAATAGTGTGTCCTAAAATAGTACTTTTTGTCTGAGTAAGTAGAACAGGTCACCGATAGTTTGCTTCCAGCTCATTAATGCCACTCAAGTTCATGAACATCTTCCAACCCCGGTGAGACATTGAACAACCCTTCCGGATGGTACTCACAGGAGCTTGAACAGAGACTTGAGATTATGAAGTTTTAAGAAGGCAGAAGCCTCTGTATAAATTGTATTCTGTGTCTCTTCTCTAAAGGAAATTCAGAATGAGGGGATGTGTAGCTCAGCAACAGACCACTTGATAACAAGCATGGGGCCCTGGGTTCCACTGCCGGTGCTGCGAAAAGAAAATTCAAATACTGGTGCTTACAGGAATAATCTCAAAAATTTAGAAGAAATGAGGGAGCTGCTTGGTTGCCATTCCTCGCTCATGCTGTGTGTATGTATATCCCTTTCAGACATATGAAGATTCACGAGAAGGATCCCAGCGGTGCTACCGCGGCAGCCCCTCCTTCCCCTCTGAAGCGCAGGCGGCTGTCCTCCAAGAGGAAACTGAGTCACGACGCTGAGGCGGAGAGAGAGGACCCAGCACCTGTGAAAAAGGTCCTTTCAGCTCCTGGCACAGACATGCCTCACCGCAGAGCTCTTAGCAAAAAATACCTCTAATCTTTATTTTCGCAGTACGGGAACTTGGCAGACATCCACGTTAGGCTTTTTAACCTGTGTTTTCCCACCGTTTTTATAAAGTGACTAAGAAAAGAGTACCTGTGTGTATTTCCTCTCTGAGCACCCCCTGCTGAGCTCAGGCATGAAATGAAGAGCTTCCAGAATTGTTTCCATGCTTTTCACATTTGCTTTCAAGCTAAAATGAAAGTTTCCTTAGCTTTGAGAGTCTCTCATGTCCTCACTCTTTTATCTCTAGTGTTCAGCAAATGCTAAGTACTCCCTAGGTACAGGTAGAGTGGGTGAGGGGACGAGGAATGACTGGGTGGGTGGTTCTGTCCAGGGAATATCTGTTGTGGGAATGAATGGACAGTCCCATCCTGAATACTACGACTGGGGAACGCGCCCTTTTTAACAGAAGACTCTGGATTGGTGCTGGCCTCTCTGAGGAGAGACCACGTCATAACCTCACTTTCTGCTTTCCCCTAAGATGGTGGAAGACGGACAGTCAGGTGACTTGGAGAGGACAGGCGATGAAGTCTTTCACTGCCCAGTGTGTTTCAAGGAGTTTGTTTGCAAGTACGGACTAGAGAGTCACATGGAGACCCATTCAGATAACCCACTAAGGTAGGAGAGCTGGTAAGCTAGACCTGTGGTCTGGAAAACTTTTCATTTGTTTCTTCTGACATTTAGCCTTATTTCTTCTCTTTAGACTGGACTCCAGTGGTTGAATGTGTGTATGAAACATTAGGAAAACATCTCAGAACAGAGTAAAGTGGGGAAGAGGTCGGCTGAGGATTATCAGAGAGGGGGCTGTAGTCCCTGGGGTCTGTTCTCTCACCCTGATTCCTTCACTTCTAGGAGGCCTGGTGGGCAGGCACCAGTGAGCCGCTCCTGTCTCAGGGTAGTTTTAACAACAAACATTTGCTCTGTATGAGGCATTGAATCCCCAGTAACTGTTGGCTGTCCATGGACATGCAGTCCAGATGAACCATTTGTGTGTTTCATGCCCAGCACAGAGGTGGGCCATGCCTGGTGTTTGGACTGAACTGGACCTGTAGCACGGAAACCCAGTGCTGTGGGATAAGAGAGGTTCTGCTGAGTAAAGAAGTCAAGTCTGTTAGGGTCTGGTAAGGTAATTCCGGACAGCGATTCTGCTGTTTATCTCCCAGTTTTGGTCTCCTCTCCAGCACATGTGACCCTCAGTAGTGCCAGGCAGAGAACATGGGTGAGGATTTCCAGCCAGGTTCCAGAGGAGGCCTGGCTCTCTACCTTGTCTGCTAGCTCTCACAGGCAAAGTCCTGTGTTCTTGATGAGCAGCGAGGTGCAGAGACTCCACACAGAACTGTCACATTTAAAATGTCAGTGTCCTTGATTCTCAGCATTGAAAATAACAGAACCACCCGGGAGCCTCTGCTGTCACTCACAGCTGAAGACTCATCCAGGCACAGAAGGCAGATCCCTGTGTGGCCATCGAGGAGGGCCAGGAGTACAGGATCTTGGGCAGCTGTTTGCCAGCCTGCATCCTGACACGCGGACTGGATTTCCTTCCTGAGGACATGCATTTTGTTGTGACTCGGGAATGAAGAGGTCTGAGCAGGTGGACAATGTTAGAGAGGAGAGTCTACTTGTGCTCCAGTTGGAGGCCACGACAAATGTCATTATCCTTAACCACGTGCCCTTGATACTTTTCATCTAGAGGAGAGACCGAATTTATGGAGAAATTACACTGCTGGGGCAAGTGGAGCACTGTAAAATGTGTACAGAACTCGGGCTCATGCTGCTGGGCTGGAGCAGGCAGGGCTGGTTGTGGGTCCCCCAGGGCTGTCTCAGCTTGTGTGTGACCCTCAGTTTTCGTGTCTTTCACATTGAAGGGAGGCTGCACTGGGAGCCTCTTACTGTCTATCTGCCACAAAAGCACATCTGGCTCTCCCTTTTGTATGCTCCTTTGCTCTGAGAGATTTGGGGACTTTGGGTTTCCTTGATATCCCAGCATCCCCGGGCTGTGGTGGGTGGTGAATACTGGCATAGATGTGTAGGCCGAGGACCCGAGCTTCCAGAGGGGATGTCACTGGACACACCTCTCGGGTGACTGCTGGGAACCCTGGCCCCTGCTTGGCGTCACTGCCATGCAGCTGTGGATTTCCCCTCGTCTCTGAGCTCCCCTGTAAGCGTCACACTTTACTTTGTGAGCAAATACCATCTTCAAAACTACTTATCCGCCCCCTCCCAGGTAATGTGACCCTCAGGTGGGGAAAAGCTGGCTGTCAGGAGGGTTTCTGCAGGTCCCCTGCCTGTGCTGCTGGTTTGCTGAGGTGTGAGATGTCTTCAACTGGGTCTTCGCAGGCAGAGAGCAGCAGTGGGCACAGTGCACCCTGGTCCTCCAGGCAGGCTGGGCGTGGTAGGTGATCCAGCCGCCGTGATTCCCAGCCACCAGTGGCACAGACGGGTGAAGAGTCTGAACCTCCAGCTGCCTGTCCGGCTACACAGCAGGGGTTTCCCTCCTGGGCTCAGTGCCACCCTCTGTCTGGCGAGGGGGTGGCTCCCCTCAAGGAGCTCGGCTTTGCAGGCCTGTAGGGCTGACCATAGGTCAGCAGCCCTGCCCCGTGGCTGTCCAGTGACCGCTGCACCGTGGGGTGGGGCTGGCATCTGGAACCCAGGAGGAATGATTACAGAACACTGTTAGGTCCCCTCTGCTCCTCTCTGCTCTGCTGTTCCACATAATAGCCTGCTATCAGAGGAGGCCGGGGGCGGACATGGGCCAGCGGACGGCTGGGCTGTGAACTGTGACTGTGGCTGTGGGACAGACTGCTCGTTAACCCAGAACTAAAATAGACTCGGACTCCATTTTCAAACCCCAAAGGCAGCAGAGCCACAGTGGGATGCTACCAGCTTAGACAAAGGCTGTAACTCAGAACAGCTGCTGGTTTCCCTCTCTCTTGCCCTGGCCCCTCCTTGCCCTCCCCACAAAGCTGGCGAGGCACCCGCTGCTCTTTAAAAAAGTGTTGGAAATCCAAACGAGTAAATGCTGGATCCGTGTTCCTTTGCTCCGGCAACAGAAAGGCAGAAGCCACACGGAGTCCAGCTGTCAGGGTCAGGTGCAGCCACATCCCTTTCTGTGTGTTTCCCAGACAGGAGGCAGAGGCGTGAAGGGAGCAGCAGGAAGCCTGTGGGCCCTGGCATCTGAACAGAAAGACGAAGGTGTAGTCGGCTGTGGTGGCGCATGCCTGCAGTCTCAGCTTCCGGGAAAGCTGAGGCGGGAAGATTCCAAGTTCCAGGACAACCTGGACAATTTAACAAGACCCTATCTAAAAATAAAGTTTAAAAAGTGCTAGGAATGTAGTTCTGGCAAGTGTGAGGCCCGGGGCTCAACCCTCAGTAGGGTGCAGAGGGAGCGTCCCTGGTGAGCGGGCCTTGCTGGGCATGGGCCGTTGCTCACTGGTGAGACTTGAGCAGAGCAGTAAGTCGCTCCCTCTGGGAGGACCATCCCAGCCAGCGCCACAGGACGTAAGCCCAGGCATCCTTTGAAATCTCGTAGCCTCGTTTTAAAAAGTATAACACAGGCGGGGGTGGGTGTGGCTCAGCGGTGGAGTAGGGGCCTGGCATGCGTGAGGCCCTGGGTTTCAACCCCATGCAGAAAAGAAGCAGCATTAACGCTTTTGCTGAGCATCTACCACAGTGTCAACACAGACCGTCAGCTAGCTCGTGCACAAGCGTCAGGGGCGCTGCTCTGCTGTCTGGCCGTCACAGGCCTTGAAGTCCAGTTCGTGGGGTGCCACCACTGCCTCTGTGGGTGACTTCCCTGGCGTCAGCTGAGAGGGCAGGATCAGGGGTCGCTGCCAGAGAGCCACTGCCAGAGGTAAAACTTGGCCCGAGTTAGTGTGTAATCTTGGGTAGCTTTTTGGTTAAAGGAGATCGGGTAATAAGTAATTTTCACCTGATTTCAGTTAAAATGTACCCAGTAGGTGATCTGAGCAGGCTTGAGAAAAATGAGGATGTTTCAGCCAGAGGCCACAGGCCGCTGGGAGGCAGCAAAGGGCAGTGCGGGGTGAAAAAGGGGCCAACTGGGATCTGCTGCGTCTGCTTCAGACCTGACCTCCTCCCACTGTGCTGCTTGGCGTTTGCTGTGAGCTGAGGCCCCCTGGCTTGGGTCACGTTATTGATCACCCGGGTCCTCTCTGAGGGGATTTTAACCCTTCGCTCGTTTACTGCCCTCTTTGTTGGGATGCACACATAGCAAACGGGAGCTGGAGCATGGAGAAGACACTGACCCTTCTTTCTCCTCTCTCTAGGCCATGCACTTGGTGACTGTTGCCCTGAGCTGGGAAGGGCCTGTCTTGTCCAAGAGCGAGGCTGGAGGCTGGGCCAAGTAGGAGCATACTTCCATCAGTGCCGGCACCCAGGGACAGCGGGCAGAGGCCTGAGGGGAAGACGCCGGCCCCAGGAAGCCTCTGAGGCTCTGCCCCCCTTCACACCACCTGGCCATCCTGGCGGGCTCCTGGCAGAGGGGAGGCCAGGGCTGTCTCAGGGCATCTCTGCTGCTCCCGGCAACTGGGCCAGATTAGCACAGCTGTGGGTGTCAGTCCTGGCGCTGGCAGGACAGGCGAGGAGCAGGAATCCTGCTGGGCGGGGCTCCTAGCAGAGACTGTTTGCACTCACGCCTCCTGGCTCTGGAGACAGAGCAGGAAAAACGAAGCGTGAAATCCCTTTTTAAAGGAATGCCCATCTCTCAATTAAAACTAATGAGCGAGGGATGCGGTGTCTGCAGCCAGCAGCTTGGGAGTTGGGAGTCGGGGTGCATCTCCTGGCAGGTGTATTTCTCAGGTTCCGCCGACCAGTGGGCTGCTGGGATCCAGGGCAGCACGCCAGGGATGCGCCTGGCCGAGCTGGCGCCCAGGCACCAAGGCTGCAATGTGCTTTGGGTCAGGCAAGGAGCTGGGCATCTGCTCGTGACCGCCTGCCCTGCCCTGCATGGCATCTCTGTGACAAGGCTCAGCCTGAAAAGAGTTGAAGAGCTGAGCATAAAGCAGGTTAATTCAGTTCTGGGACCCTGAAAAATGCTACATGAGTTTTTCTGATGCTGTTTAGATCACATCTCTTTTCTTACTATTTGAAGCCTTCCAGCATTCACAGCTAGGGTTTGCTGTGGCCCTTTGGTTATCCCATTCCTGGGCTTCTCCCAGGCACTGCGGAGCTGACAGAGGACTCGGGAGCAGAGGGTCCTTTACTCTTTATTGTCATAACGAACCACTTCCATCTTATTTCACTTTTGTCAGGATAGGGAAACTGAATACCACTGAAATCTGCTTTGAGTCCTGCCTGCCCGGTGTGTTGTAATCCTGGTGAACTGTTGGAAGGCTGATGTTCAGAAGCCGGAAGGGACTTGGACACTGTTAAATATTAAAGCCGCACATCACTCTGTTAGGCCACTGGGGAAACCCGAGATTCTAAAGAAATGAGTTTCCTAACATTTGAAATGTGCCAATGTGATCTTTCGAAAAGGTGCTTTATGTAGTTAAAAAAGAAAATACAAGTAACCCTTTCTTGCTGGTTGTGGGCAGCTGCAGTAACCCTTGTGGAATTCTGCAATGCGTTGAAGCCATGCAGGATACCTGGGTGCTTCAACTCTTCAGGCCAGCTGCTTTGTTAAGCTTTTTCTGCTGACTTCAGGACTTTCCTCTTGCTCTGGAGAGTGAAGTTACTGGATGAATAAAATGCTACTGTAGTTTAGCTGGAAGGTTAAGGAAGTGGAGGAAAAAGCTAGATGTGGCACATGCCTGTAATCTCAGCAACTTGGGAGGCAAGAGGATTGCAAGACCCTGTTTCCAAATTAAAAATAAAAAGGGCCCCTGGGTTTGACCACTCAATACAGCAACAACAAAAAACAAATGAAAGGGTCGGGGATTTAGCTCAGTGGCACCGCACCTGCCTCACAAACGCAAGGTCCCGAGTTCGATCCCTGGTACCATAAAAATAAGTAAATAGAAGAAAAGGGAGGAAGAAAGCCAAAAGACTAAGTGTCGTGTTCTCCGTTCTGTAAAACCCACTGCTGCTGAGTTGCATGCGCGTGGCCCCCACTGCGGGTAAGCGCACTCCCCCTCCCCTGAAGGGTCCTGGGGAAACCCTTCAGCTGTGGCTGCTGGGTCCAGGCTGGCATTTCGGGGTGGTGCTGCTAACGATAACAGTCATCTGTGCGCGAACTGTTGGTCCTACTGTGAGCCGCCGACTGCTGGGGCCATCTCGGGCTGATTCTTCACCCTTCTCTCTGCCCTGAGTGTCCACATCGCAGCAGCATGTTAATCACGCTGCATTTCCACCCTGACCCAGCACTGAGCTGTGTTCTTTACCTTTTCTATTTTACTTTTGTTTTGCAAAACAGGATATTGCTATTAAGACATTTTCTTTAATTAAAAAAAGTGAGGTCCAGGGATTTAGAGCAGTGGTTCCAGCATCTGTCTTGCAAGTGCATGGACCCAAGTTTAATCCCCAGTACCAAAAAAAGTGAATATGAAATATGTCTTCTACAAAGTCATTTGCTGTCACAAGAACGAACCTCAGTACCCTTTCTGACGAGGTATGCACTGGTGCCCAGCAGTCTCTACTCAGTAACTTTTTAATTGTTCCTCTTTTTCCTCAGACTGAGATCTGTGTATCAACAAGAATGTTATTTGTTGCATTAAAATCTTTTGAGAATTGAAAGGACAAAATCTCAGCTAACACACGAGTATTTCCTTGACCCCTGGATGCTGCTTGGCTCCTCCCCTGGCCTTGGTGACTCCTGGCAGTGCTCAGGAGGCACTGGCCTACAGGGTTGAGTCTCTGTGACTGAGAGCAGAGTGGAGGTTGCCGGCTTCTGCTCCGAGCATCTTAGCACCAAGCACTTTTCAGTCTAGAGAAGTCACTGCCAGCATGTGGTGGGCTTGTGCTTATTTGATTTTGAAGGAGGAAGGACAGGAGTGACTGTGGCAGGAGGATCATTTGAGGCCAGCCTGGGCAGCATAGTTGGGACCCTGTGTTAGGGGAAGGAGTATAACAGTGCCCAGGCTGGGACTTCGTGAACATGCGGTGTGAAGTACAGACCTAGACCTTACCTCAGCCTCAGAAGGCTCTGGCAGATGTGTGGGCAGACAGGAAGCATCGCTCTCATGGGAGCTGTGGCTCCAGGAAGGTGGCCAGGATGAGGAAGCAGGTGGTACAGAAAGAGCACATGCTCTTTCTCCCCACGCGTCTCAAGATGAAACCAAAGCACTGAGGATGACTGTGACATTCTAGAATGAAAAAAGAGCATGCCCACTGGAAATCAAAGCCCCGCTTCTCCTGAATTTTCATGTTTACTAACATGTGCCAGGAAATCAGCTTTTCCAGATTTCTTCTTCTCCTGGTAAGGTAGAATCATTGTTAAATGGGGGGATAGTGCCTCAAGGTTTCCCAGCATTTCCTTGTCTGTTACTCAAGTTGGCCCCAGAGATCCTCATCCCAGGTGAGAAGGGGAACAGGCTTACAGAATGAAAAGGTTGCAGAGGTGAGAACCTCTGCAAGAGAACCTCTTGGGTAGTGTTTTGTCCAGGGCCTCTTGTGCACTCAGTCATAGCTAACTAATGATGTTTTTGGATTCTTGTACTTCATTTTTCAGGCTCACCTAACTGAAAAGCATCACCTGGTGTGTTCACTTTATGCCAGTTTCTAGGCCTGCCCGTTCCCTGCAGTGACTTCGGGAGGTACAGGTCTGGGGTGGGATAAGGACTCTGCTTTTTCAATAAGGTCACAAGGGCATTCTCCCCTTTGGCATATCTGGGAGGTGTTACATAAGGGCTAACATCTTCAGCCTCTGTGTCGGGGCCATGACCCCCCCCCCACTGCTCCCAGAGCCTTCCATGAGACACAGAACTTGGGACTGACGCTAGGGAATCTGGCCATGTGTTACTGCACACCTAATGCCGTGGAACTTCATGACATGGGAACAAAGCACGTTTGGTACAGATGCATTTTCCCCAGTGTTTCAGTCCAGGGTTGGTTGAATCCGCAGACACAGAACCTGTAAGTACAGAGGACCCAGCTGCCCAGCTGATCCTTGTTACTTGTGTTAGATGGGTTCTATAGGTCACTGTAAACACAGAATTAGCAAATACTGACTCATTGCTCCCCAGGAAAATGTGGGGTTAAGATTCTCGGTGCTTCTCGTCACCTTGCCATCAGCTAATCAGTACCTACGCTTGTTTTATATATGTTTCCCTTCTGTTTGCTCACTTGCTTGTTTGGGTTTTTTTGAGACATGGTTCCATTCAGGCTGTCCTTGGACTCACAGTCCTCCTGCTTCAGCTTTAGGACTTAGGGTTACAGGCACGTGTGACCGTGTCCAGTCTGTGTTTCTGTGTAGCCACCTTATTTCATGTGTTGTCAGTTCATTGTCATGGTGCTCACAGCCAGCCCATGTAATCACACCTGAACAGATCCTCTGATCACATATTTTCTCTGTGCAGCACACCTTAGCCCTTGTGCTCAGGAGCAGGAGGCGCTTGAGCTCAGTAGCCGTTCCCCTCTCGGTGTGCGGCTTAGGCTGGGATGTGTTCTGGCCAGGAGAGCCCAGGGCGGCCGTGTCTGTGCTCTGCCTAGCTTACGTCCATCTCCTCACTGAGACCAACCTCTAGGCCCTAGGTAAAGGGACCGTTCCTGTAGTTTATACTGTATTCCCCCAGGACACACCCTGACTTGGGAGCTACGATCCCCGATCTGAGCTCACGGCTCTCGAACTTCCAGTCCCTGAGATCTGCCAGGTTGTCTAGATCCATCCCTTCCCAGGGGCTTCAGCCACAGTTGGGGAGCTCAGCAAACTCACCCCAAAAAGAGTGCTATTCGGGTGGCTCATTGGGAATCTGGTATTCTAAACACAGTCACACATTGACAGGAGGTGTCCCCAGCTACCAGAGGGGAGCAGAGGGGTGGACACACGAAGGCACTGTGTCCTGCTGTGCCCCGCCACGGCCTGAGAAAGCACATACTTGACACTTCTCTCGTTCGTTCGGCACCTTGGCAGCCTCGTGGGTGACTTCATTATCTCTGCATTTCCAGAGAAGAGTGTCATAACAGAAAACAAGTTTCCATTAAAGCTTGTACCGTGTAGCTGGGTGTGTGTACACTGCCCTACCTCTCTGGGACCTGCGGTAATAGGGCTGCACAGGCAGGGTGCTCGGGACCCCTCTCCCGCTGCCCCACTTGAATGAGAAGCTTCAGCAGCCACCTGTGCAGCTGGGGCTTGTTTAGAGCCGGTCTCGGGATGCTGATGAGTGCTGCACCATCTTCCCAGTGGTCCTCAGCGAAACTGTGGTGCTGGCGCTGGTGTGAAGGGTGGAGGCTGCTTTTTTAAATGGTGTCCACTTCTCCTTTGTGGATCAGAACATTTTAGGATATCAAAGGCCCTCTCTAAAGAAGGGTCGTGACTTTTCCCCTTTTTTTGAAGTGTCGTGATTTCTCAGTAAAGGTCACTTGTGGGAGTCTCTCAAGGTAGGGGATGCAGCCTGGTGGTGGGTGAGGACAGGAGTAGGACTGGGCCCTGGCTGGGTAACCTCGGTCGCACTGATTAGCATGGTGGGGCCTCTGAGTTCTCATCGGTTAGATGAGGCTGGTGACGCCCATGGCAGGGCCTCAGCTTACTGTGGGTTTAAGGTGTGGAAAGTGCAGACGTTTTTCAGATAATGATAGTAATAATGTCCGAATTTAATGCCCGGGCATGGTACTTGCTACCAATTCAGTAGAGTCAGTTAATTATCTTACCTGTATCAGATGCCAGGCCTGCTGACGTGATTGCTCCAGTTGCTGCAGAAATGTCTGCTTTATTACCTGTTAAACATTTTACAGAGCCAGGGATTTAGCTCAGTGGTGCCACCGCCTGCCTCGGAAGTGTAAGGTCCCAAGGTGGATCCCTGGTACTAAAAGCAAGGATTCATCTCCTATCAGTGGATTACATCTTTTGCCTTAGTGAGATGGTATATAAAACATTTTATAATAACTAAATCCAGTGAGCTGGGGGAAGGAGAAAACCTCTGAGATAACCCATTCTGTGCCACATGGTCTGGTCACAGTGTGGGTCTGCAGTGGTGGCTTCGGGGTCCCTGCTCAGATGTTTGGGCCAAGGTGCGTCTCTTACTGCCTGCAAAGATTTGGTGTCCAGAGTTGGCAGATATCATTAACAAAGTGAATTAAAAGAAGTACACTGGCTTTCTGATGTCTTACTCTTACCTGTTTGGTCGAAGTGAAGCAGCGAAAGCTATAATAAACCCAGCAGACAACTGGGATCCCTGACTGGGCTCCCACCTCGAATCTGTGCCTCTCCCTTCTAGATGTGACATTTGCTGTGTCACCTTTCGAACACATCGAGGGCTGCTGCGCCACAACGCCCTTGTCCACAAGCAGCTTCCCAGGGACGCCATGGGAAGACCTTTCATCCAGAACAACCCTTCGATTCCCGCTGGCTTCCACGACTTGGGCTTCATGGACTTCTCCTGCAGGAAGTTTCCTCGCATTTCTCAGGTATGCTGACTGGTTCAGGGTTGGGCCACCCTCCCTCACCTTGAAGTTCCCTTTCCTTAAAACGCTACCAATTGAATTGTCTTTTCTATAGCCCCCCCCCTTAAAATTCAACTTGGAGCCAGGTGTCGTGGCACTCACTGTCATCCCAGCTCCCTGGAAGGCTGAGGCAGAAGGTTCAGAGGGTTATGCCCAGCCTGGGCAACTGAGGGAGAACCTGTCTCAAAATGTGAAAAAAGACCAAGGACTTGGATCAGTGTGAAGGTCCTGGGTCCAATCCCCAGTACAGAACCCTGCTTGGCCCAGTCTGTCTCCCTTAGGCTGCCAGGTGGAGAGAGGGGTGGGCACTCTTCCCTTGGGGTTGAATTTCCTAAGCATTTTTGGTGGCTTTGGCTCCTCTGCACTTTTGCCCCTTCTCGGGACTTGTGATTTGGAGTGTGGATTGTTCACGACCCCCACCTGAGTCCTCTTGGACTTTGAACTCATGTTTTAGCACCTGCATAAATAAATGTATCTAGCATTGTAGTTTCTGTTAAGAGAATGAGTTGGGGGCTGGGAGTGTGGAGCGATGGTGCCCACCTGCAGGGAACCCTGGACCCATCCCCAGCACCACCACCGCTGCCAAAGAAAACATTGCGACCATTTTCCATTTGAACAAGACAGGAACTATATTTTTTGTCTGCTGGTAAAGAACCTGCTAGCAGTACTCTGAAATTATGTGTCTTACAAAATGGAAGCAAACACGGGAGCTGGAAGTCTGTGGATTCCCCCGTGTGTAGACCCGTGAGTCTTGGAGCAGTTCTCCCACCGCCATCAGGAAGGATGCCCTTCATGGCGGTGTAGGGCAGACGTGGTCTAGGTGCCTCGCCCTCTCACTGGCTGGCCCCAGGGTAGCAAGCAGGGGAGGGCTGGCCCTCATATTTCAGCAGAGAAAGGCTGCACTGGGGTGCAGTTGTACAACAGATGCTTCCCTTTAATGCTTATTTTTAAACCTTTGCTTTGTTCTCTCGCTTCTGCCCTCGGGTCCCACAGGCCTGGTGTGAGACAAATTTGCGAAGGTGCATCAGTGAGCAGCACCGCTTCATCTGCGACACCTGTGACAAGGCGTTCCCCATGCTCTCCTCACTCGCCCTGCACAAGCAGACCCACGTCACCGTGGACCGGGGCCGGGAGGAGCTGCAGGCTGACGTCCTGGCCGGCGATGCCCTGGACCAGAAGGTCTTCCTGGCCTTGCTGGGCCTGCAGCACACCAAAGATGTCAGGTCTGCGCCCACCGAGGAGCCTCTGCCAGATGACAGCCAAGCGATACAGCTCCACACACTCAAGTGTCCACTACCTCAGGACCCCGGCTGCACTGGCCTGCTGAGTCTGTCTGCCTTCGATGCTACCTCCCTGGGCGGCTCTCTCACAGTGCTCCCGGCTGCCAAGGAGGGCATGAAGCACCTTTCCCTGCAGCCCTTCCAGAAGGGCTTCATCATCCAGCCGGACAGCAGCATCGTGGTCAAGCCCATCTCTGGGGAGGCAGCCATCGAGCTGGCCGACATCCAGCAGATCCTGAAGATGGCAGCCTCCGCCCCACCTCAGATCAGTCTTCCGCCCCTCTCCAAGGCCCCGGCCACCCCCCTGCAGGCAATATTCAAGCACATGCCTCCTCTGAAGCCAAAGCCCCTGGTCACACCGCGCACAGTGGTGGCCACCTCCACACCCCCTCCCCTCATCAACGCACAGGCCTCCCCGGGCTGCATCAGCCCCAGCCTGCCCCCACCGCCACTCAAGCTCCTCAAGGGCTCGGTGGAGGCGGCTGCCACGGCCCACCTGCTGCAGTCCAAGTCTGGGGCTCAGCCAAACTCGGGCCCGCAGCTCTTCCTGCAGCCGCCGCGTGCAGAGCTGCCCGGGCAGCCCGAGATGAAGACGCAGCTGGAGCAGGACAGCATCATTGAAGCCCTTCTGCCGCTGAGCATGGAGGCCAAGATAAAGCAGGAGATCACAGAGGGCGACCTCAAGGCCATCATGACGGGGCCCAGCGGCAAGAAGGCCCCCCCCATGCGCAAGGTGCTGTACCCCTGCCGCTTCTGCAACCAGGTGTTCGCCTTCTCGGGGGTGCTGCGTGCGCACGTGCGCTCGCACCTGGGCATCTCCCCGTACCAGTGCAACATCTGCGACTACATCGCGGCCGACAAGGCGGCGCTCATCCGCCACCTGCGCACGCACAGCGGAGAGCGGCCCTACATCTGCAAGATCTGCCACTACCCCTTCACCGTCAAGGCCAACTGCGAGCGGCACCTGCGCAAGAAGCACCTCAAGGCCACGCGCAAGGACATCGAGAAGAACATCGAGTATGTGAGCGGCAGCGCGGCCGAGCTGGTGGACGCCTTCTGCGCGCCCGACACCGTGTGCCGGCTGTGCGGCGAGGATCTGAAGCACTACCGCGCCCTGCGCATCCACATGCGC